CCGTTGTCTTTTCATAAATCCTACACAGCTTCTCGTATTGTGACACCCTTTTATCCTTAATTGTCTGGCATACTTATTAACCTATATTAAACGAAAATAATGAAAGGTAAGCAATACTTATTAACCTAAACCCATTTGTCATAATGGTTAAAAAAATGGATAGTAATCAATACTAAAGCCTACCTTGCACAAATCCTTCCAAACCTCATCCTCCAAGACAATTGTTGTCTTCACGGGATCCCAACCAACTCCAGCTTGATTTAACAGTTTCTTGAAAGCATGGTAAATAGGTCTCAAATTATTAAACTTCCTCTGCAGTTGTTCATATGTGTAGTTGTACCCCTTGCTTAATTGCATGTTTCTTACGAGATTTTTCCACCCAAGTTTGGTAAAAGTAGTATTTGGTCTATTCCCCACTACTACCCTATCCATCAAGTCAATGAAAAGTGCCTCCTTATCGGACGTCCATAAGGCTACATTTTTCTCATTGTCAGCCTCTACGACCTCATCATCATGGGTTTGTTCGCTACCCGTTTCTATCTGCAACAATTTTGTCAATTATACTAACAATTTCCCAACCACTACACATAACTATACTAACAATTCACAAAATGCAACATGGATCAAGGTATACAGGTACACAAATCTAAGCAAAAAAAGTTCTAAATACACAAACCCAGATTGTCAAGAAATAAAGAGACCATTTTTTTTTTATCAAAAGTAACGAGGTATTGATCTAGTCTAGAGTAAATGTATTTACATTATAAGCAGATTGAACATGTTGACATGCATCTAGGTATATAGGCCAGGACTCAAATATCCGATCATACTACATGAACTATTCACATATAATTATTATATGTTCGACCATCAAAGGTCAAGTATAGAATCTAACAAATTTTGACAAAGCACAAACCCGACATAATAGGGTCCGTTGCCAACCCTATAAATAATTGAGCTAAACTGCTATAGGCCTGTAGCTGCACCAATGAAAGATGAGGACCACCTAAGTAATCAAGCTACGCCATTGATTGTAGTAGTTACCATCCATCAAGGAGCAAACAATAACATCTCAAGAAACTAAAGCATTAAAGGGGTCTCTCACAAAAGCATCAACAAAGCTTCAAACCCAAAGCTATCTCATATTGCACATATACCATTAAAGGTGTGTCCCTTAACTTATCTTGGCTGTCCAATTATTAGGGGAAGAGTTAAATTAATCTACCTTGAAGATCTGCTGAGTAAATTTCAATCTAGATTGAGGGGGTGGTATTCTATGTTGTTATCTAATGTGGGAAGGATTGTTGTTATCCAGTTAGTGTTAAACTCAATTCCTGTCCATTTACTGTCTGTGTTGAACCTACCAAAGGGTATTATTTCAAAGTTAAACTCAGCCATGGCTTCTTTCTTTTGGTCTTCTCAACCAAATGTAAAGAAGAGGCATTGGTGCTCTTGGAAGGCAATTACTTTACCCAAAGATAAGGGAGGATTGGGTATCAGAAAGTTTGAAGAGGTGCAGAAGGCATTTAGAATAAAACAGGTGTGGTAATTGTTGCAGGCTTCTTCATTATGGTCAAATTTTTTCTCTGCTAAATACCTACATCAACAACACATACTAAGGAACATAAGACATGGCACTTCTAGATCCTTCTCTTCTCTAGTACCTTATTTTGAGGTTGTAGTCGCAAACTCAAGGAGGATTGTGGGCAAGGGGGACACTGTGGACTTTTGGTGTGACAACTGGACTGGTGGAGGTCCTCTAATTCTGAAAGCAAATTCAATGCCTACTGAATTTCCTAAGCTTTCAGATCTACTGGTTAATGGATGTTGGGAGTTGGAGGAGATAGAGCAGCTACTAGATTCCTCAGTAAAACAAGCGATCTACTTTGCTACTCCAGTATTGTCTAACAAAGAGGATAGGCTAGTATGGTAGCACACAGCTTTATGGAACTTCTCATTAAAATCAGCTTGGCACCTTATTAGATCTTCTGGTTAGTCTAATGTCTACGCGGCTACTATTTGGAAGCAATCATTGCTCCCTAGTTCTCAATTGATTGGATGGAAAATTCTACGTAATATACTCCCAATGGATTCTACGTTTCTAAATGTGGGAGTTGCATTAGCTAGTAGATGTGCATTATGTCTGGGGGATTCTGAGAATATGCAGCACCTATTTATCAGCTGCAGCTATGCTCAAGCTGTATGGAAAAAAAATTTCTTTCTTATTTGGATTTCAGGTGATATGTAATAAAGATTCTATGGTAAGGTTTATGAGACTTGCTAGAATTTATAAGCATTCTTCTCTGAGTCATGCTCTAGCAAAGGGGATTTCTCTATTGGTTTACTGGCAATTATGGAAAGAAAGGTGTTGCAGGCTTTTTGATGATCAAAGAATCCACTCTGAATGAGAATCTTGAGTCATTGTAAACTCCAAGTTCATAATATCAGGCCTAAATCCATGGATACTCAGCTAGGATTAGAAATCCTTAGCTCTCTCAATGTTGCTTCTGTCAAATGGCCTAAGATGAAAGTTAGCTGGCAAAGACCAACTTATCCATTTAATTAACACAAATAATACTTACTAGAAAATAGAAATTTAAAGATAGAAAAATAATAAAAACATGATACAAAGATATAACGTTGTTCAATATAGCATACTCATACATGTATACCGTATCTACATCCATGGACCAAAAATTCATATTGATATATTATTCACTGAAATCTAGTTATTTGGTAACTGATTACATAATACTCAAACCTATTTTATATAATACTCAACCTTATTTAGAGAGATAAAATATTGTAATCCAAATCTATTCAGATATAACTTGATCATTATGTTTCCTATTATATGTCTAATATACCTATTCATGATATATTAAAACTCTTCCTATTTAATTAGGTCACTAATAAACCTATCAATAGTTTATTAGGACTCTTAAATTGATTATCCAACAAACTCTCATTCCTGACAATTGGAGAGTTTGGGTCAAATTCTAACATTTCGCCTTAAACCAAACTCTTCAACTTTGGTCATACCCAAGATCGGGATTATCACCTTTGATTTTGACGTAATTAAACCAACAAATGGTATTAGAGTTATATTCCAACAAGTAGTATCAGAGTTATATATGTTCTAACAATTAGGATATTACATGTTACTCATGGTTCATTTAACTTCTTATATTGTCATGTAAATTTCATAGTCACTTTCCTCATGTTTATTATAACCTAGATCCATAATGATTAATTCTTAATGTTTACTATAATTCTGGATTTTGAAAAAGTAATCTTCTACTACTTCATATATAATATTTTATTCTTACAACTATTTATGTGCAACACACATTTGCACTAACTAGTGGTTCTAAGTGTGGAAAATTAAGCTTCTTTTCTTACCTTTATGCAACTTTAGCTTCCTTGTTTCTCTTCAATTTCATAGTTTCTCTTCAATTTCGTAGTTTCCTACATATTTGTTTTTTTAGGTGATTTTGATTTGATTCAGGTTCACCTTAACTTTCCAGTGGACGTGACCCTTGAGGAGGTGCTGTTGTGAGTATCATTGTTTTTCTTCAATTTTATAGTTTCCTACATATTTGTTTTTTAGGTGATATTGATTTGAGTTAGCTTCACTTTAACTTTCCAATGAACGTGACCCTTGAGGAGGTGTTGTTGTGAGCATATCTGAGTTAAATTTTAGAGTTACATATGTTCATTAGTATCTTCACGTAGAGAGGCATAACTATTTTAAGACAGTAAATACACACCTCCTAAATATCACATGTCAGCTCTTTCTAATATCCCAGATATTACTGGACGCGAATTGACACGAAATAATCGAATTTGAGTTAATCATCTGTAGGTTCGGATGGTAAAGGACCATCAAATAAATAATTGTTAGACTTGCCAAATAAATGGGTCGATAAGAAATTAGCTAAATATGATACAAATCTATTAAACACGACTCATTTACAACACAAAAGCTGATAAGACACACTTTCGACTAAAACTGTTTATAGTTTGCAAAATTGTGCATTAACAGGTTTCAGCCACACAGACATCACACCTTTCCATACTTATCTTACAATCTGCAACCATAATGCTGCAATCCCACTAAATGAATCCATAATTCGAGAAATTGAGCTGTTTTTTTTTTTTTTTTGGTGTGTAGTCCTGAAAGTTTGCACAATACTTTAACCTTCAACATTAGCTTAGAAAATTGCATGCTAATTAATAACATCATCTTTCTTTCGGTTAACATTGAAAAATCATAGCATCTTGAGACTATCCTATGACTTTTAATTGTGGCGAAAAGAATGTTACACATTTGGTAGTTGGACTGATCTAATCAACTTTTCTGCCCCATACCTCTACAATGGATGAAGACGGCAAAGGCGAGGGCGAAGGTGAGGGCGAAAGCGAGGGCAAAGACCCCACCTCTATAACTTCATCCAGTACAACAAACACGAAAGCCAAGACCCTTGGATCTCAATCACTGACTCCAAGGTTCATCCCAATTTTATCAACTCTAAGCAAAAGAAAGAATTTCTTTGTATCAATAATAAAAGGAAAAAAAGGGAGTTGATTGTGGTGCTGTGGGTTACCGTGGTTGGGGTGCAATGGGTTTTGGAGATTGGTGGTGGTTCTAAAATATGGGAAATTACTCTGTTTGCCTCTCTATTCATCTAGTTTGAATTGAAATTGAATTTGACTGATTTTTTTTGGTGGTAACGATATTCAAATAATTATAACAAAAAACAATATTTACATGAAGTATTTATGATATTTAAAAATTTGAGTCTTCCTTAAGAATGGGACCTAAAACTCAAGTTTTTTCAACAAACACTGTTGGGCTGTTCCTGCGGAAACAGAATGAGGAAACACCACCGCCCCATGTAGACACAAACACCACCACCAAGCCTCCATAACTTACCGCCCCCTGCCATCCCTATATAAAAACACATCCAAATTATTTTTTGTAAAAAAAATAGTTGGAACTACTCATCAGCTCCTCTAATAGCTGTAAAACTCTTAGCCATGACATCTCTAGCAAAATAATCAAATGGGTCTGTTTTCATATCTCCCATCTGTTTAATTTATGGTCTAATAACATCTAAACAATCTCAGAAAATTAGGGAGTTATGCACAGAGAGAGAGAGAGAGAGAGAGTTTGCCAAAATAATATCTCTCAAACTATTCTATGATCCTTGTGAGCCTCTTTATGCATTGCCAATTAATTTTAAGTAAGATGCTTTAACACAACTCTATTATAGTGTTATACTTTTGATATACAACAATGAATCACTATTATAAATACAATATACTATCATTACAAGTGCAAAAGAAGATTTTAAAGAGAAAAACACAAAACTAACTTGTGATTCATTGTTAAGCCTAAGTATTTGACTTTATTATAATGCTACAGACATGGAAATCTAGTGATCAGCTTGAATTCATTCATTTGTGGACCGGCCAGAAATTTTCATGGTGTCACCAAAACTAACTTTGCATGGTATGTGCATGCTCTTGTATCTCCTTCCAAGCCTTGTTCACATGGCAATAGTCTGTAAGTGTTGCTCCAACAGCAAGGCTTATCACGTACACTCCCCCAACCACAGCATGTGTCATGTACACTCTCCCTGTCGCATTAATGGATTCCAAAAGCTTTCTGTTGAATTCATTTGCATCTTCTTCACCTAAAATCTTTTGATTAGCATTTCCCATCATTAATGGCGAAATCCGAAAACAAACCATTGCAAAATTTCTAGGAACCACGACCTTGAACCTCTTACCCATGGCTATGAGCCCTTCAAAATGTTTAGCCATTTTTACATAACCCCTTATGAAGTTTCTTAGGTTTGATACGCCATAGCTTCTGAGCACAAGCCATAGCTTCATTGCTCGGAAACGTCGGCTCAATGCTATTTGCCAGTCTTTGTAGTCCACCACTTGGTTTGAATCAGAAACCTTGTTCTTCAAATACTCCGGATCAGTTGAGAGAGCTTTGATTAGGGCACTTGGTTCCTTTACCCAAAGACAACAACAATCCAAAGTGGTGAGGAACCATTTATGCGCATTGAGACTAAATGAGTTAGCACCCTCAATACCCTGAAGAAAATGGCGAAACTCTGGACAAATAAATGCACTTCCTGCATATGCAGCATCAATATGAACCAAAATATTATAATCTTTTGCTATATCACATAATGGCCCCAATGGATCAATTGCATTAGATGAAGTAGTCCCTATAGTGGCACAGAAAAACAATGGAATTAGCCCAAATTTGATATCTGATTGAATTGCTGACTTTAGTGAATTGGGAGATAACCCAAATGCAGTAGACTTTGTGGTCAAGAGAGATCGAAAATTCGAGGGGTTAATGCCTGCAATTTTAGCAGCTTTTTGGAGTGAAGATTGGGTTTGATCAGACCCATAAACAACAAGCTTCCCCATGTTTTCTCTCCCAATTTTGTCTAACATTTGGTCCCTGGCCGCGGTTAGTGTGCACAGGATGGCCTCACAAGTAGTCCCTTGTAGAACACCACCACCACCACCACCAGAGAAAAGAAATGAAATGGGAAGGTTAAGCATTTTTCCAAACCAGTCCATCACTATGCTCTCAGTTTATCAAATTTACATCCAATAGGATCCAATAAACATTAAATTCATCAAATCAACAACAAATTCAATTTGTTAACATTCAATTTATCAAATTAACATGCAAATTAATATTGATCTCATCCAATTAAGATTAAAATATATCAAATCAATATTCAAATTAATCAAATTAACATTCAATTCATCTAATTAATATTCAAATTCATTTAACTAACATTCCTTAAATTAACATCTAAAATCTTCTAATAAATATTAAATTCAATTCTTTTTGTAAGAATTGAACCCCTGACCGCCTGGTTGAGAGTATCAAGGTTGAAAATTTTGTCTAGTTTTATAAAATTGATAGTCAATTTAGTGTTATTTTGATAAAATTGATTTCTAAATTGATAAATTTAAATGTTAATTTAGTGTTGATTTAATGAATTGGATCTCAATTGGATGAATTGCATGTTAAATTTATGGATTTTAATGTTAATTTAATAAACTTGAAGATTAATTTTGTGTTAATTTAATGAATTGGATCTCAATTGGATGAAATTGCATGTTAAATTTATGGATTTTAATGTTAATTTAATAAACTTGAAGATTAATTTTGTGTTAATTTAATGAATTGAATCTCAATTAGATGAAATTGTGTTAAATTCACTGAATGTCATCCAATAAACGTTCAATTCATGAATCAAAGTATCATACAATTTCATCTAATTAATATTCAATTCATCAAATTGACATTAAATTAACATCTAAATTCATCTAATTGGTATTCAATTCATCAAATTAATTGACATTAAATTAACATCTAAATTCATCTAATTGGTATTCAATTCAACAAATTAATATCGAATTTTATTCAATTAACATTTAATTTATCAAAATAACACAAAAATAACATTTAATTCAACAAATTAACATTCAAATTCAACTGGTTAATATTAAATTTATCAAATTAACATCAAAATTAACCATTAGTTCATCCAATTAAAATTCAATTCATTAAATTAACATTCAATTCATCCAATTTATATTCAAATTCCTCTAATTAACAATCAACTCATCAAATTAACATCAAAAATCATGCAATACATATTCAAAACATCAAATTAACATTTAATTTCATCCAATTAACATTCAATTCATCAAATTAACACCAAATTAATATCTTAATTAATCCAATTAGCATTTTATTCATCCAATTAATATTCAATTTCATCCAATTAACATTCAATTTATCAAACAAAAAATAAAATAACATTCAAATTCTTCAAATTAATTTTCAATTGCATTCAGTTTTTTTTTTTTTTTGAGTTATAGAGATAAATTTTTATTCAAATGGAACAGAGACAAAAAATGGGCCAAAATTACAAGTCTCATAACATGAATAGTAAAAGACAAATCACACTGGCACTTTTAATATAGTAATAGAGATAAAATTCAAGCAATTTAAGCAATTTAATGTTAATTTTATAAAAAAAAAATTGAACGATCAATTTGGTGTTAATTCGATAAAATTGGATTTTAATAAATAAAATTTGGTGTTAATTTGATGAAATTGATTTTTGAATTAATGAAATCGAATGTTAATTTAGTGTTGATTTGATGAATTGAATCTCAATTGAATAAAATTGAATGTTAATCTCATGAATTGTTATGTTAATTTGATAAAGTTTGGTAAAATTGATGGTAATTTTGGTGTTAATTTGATGAAATTGTATTTTAAATTGATAAAATTGAATTTAATTCAATGTTAATTTGACAAAATAAAATATTAATTAGATGAATTCGTCCTTTTGGTATTGCTAGTACTATTTAGAATATGATGAAATTATTATTATTATTTATCTCCAAAATGTTTGTGATCTATCTCAAGAGCTTGAGATTTATTGCAAGGTTATAGTAGTCTCCCACAAAAAAGAGCTTTGGATATGTTGACCTGAAAGATTGTGATCGATCATAGAGTGAAACAATATATCATTGTACTTCATAACAATTTTTTGTTCTAAGAAGAAAAATTGCAACCGATTCTATGTTTTTTTGCAATCGATCATAGTACTACATTTTTTGTGATCTATTCCAATAGATTAGGATCTATCGCTAAGGTTTATAATATACCTTAAAATGTTAAAAGAATGTTTAGAATCGATCCCAACTATTTGGGATCGATCACAAGTTATGGGTCAGGCCCAAGGGTCTAGCTCAAATTATAAGTCTGGTCCAAGTTCATAAGCCAATTTCAAGTGGTCCAGCAAATCATGTCTAAAGTGTTCTACGCCATATCAAGATCATCAAGGTCAAGGAGCTACGATAGTGGAGAGCATGCAGGGTCATCCAAGAGTCTTATCCTCTTTCTCTTGAAAAGAGTCAACACCCACGTCATCATTTGACTGAATCTCACGGAGAGTACTGCAACTGCCTCTCCTATTGAGAAAAGGACGCTGGCTCCAACAGACTAGCCACTTAAATACTAATATTTCACCCAAATCTATTATGGGGCGCCTATAAATTATTAGCTCCACCAACACTTGGGGGGCAGATAACACTTTGTTGAGCACGACTCTCTCCTCTCTCTTTCAGCCTGTAACTCTCTGCTCTCCTACATATTTGAGTTAATAAAATATTCGGCGACTCTAGCCATTTAAAAGTGGGTGTAGGTCATCTTGACCGTAACTACTATAATTCTTGTCTTCTCTCTCTACTTATTTTACTCCATTTATATTGCTTACTTCACAAGTGGTGTGTAAACTAATTTGTGCATCATCAACAAGTACTCTTAATTTAATGGGTAAATTTACTAGGACATAGGTCAAGTTTACTTTTATTTTGGTTAATATTATGATATTCATGAATAATAAGATTTTTATCACCATATTGATTACCTTTAATAGAATTTTAATTAGCACGAATTTTAATCGATTGAATGAAAGTAAACATTAAATTCATGAATTTTAATGTTTATTTAGTAAAATTGGAGGTCGATTTAAATTGAAAAAATTGAATGTTTATTTGTTGTTAAATTTTAACTCTTATTTTGAATTGATGAAATTTTGAATTTATGAAATTAAATTTTATGAATGTTTGCAATTTATCACAAAGTTACTATAGCCTCCACCAAATGTGATTTCTTCATGCAAATTTGCTAATGTACGACTAATCTTATTGAAAAAGGATAAGTTTGGAATGGATGACAAGTTCACATGAGTGAGTTTTATTGAAACCTAGAGATTGGTGACTGATCACAAATATTTTGGATAATATTAACACCATATTGTTTAAATTTAATATTTTTAAGTATAATATTGTCATTGTTGTGGTAAGATTTACCAAAATCGTGGGCAATTTATTACAATTAAGAGTAGATTTATCACATGAGAGGATCAATTTATAATAATTAAGGGCATATTTATCACCTGTGAGGATAAATTTGTAGCAATTGTGGATAAATTTATTAAAATTAAGGGTATATTTACCACATTTGAGGGTTGGTTTACCACAATTAAGGACAAATTTACCATTGTTGTGGGTAGGCGTACTAGATTTTTGGACATATTAACAATTTTAGAGGACAATTTACAATTGCTTTGGTAATATTTACGATATAAGTGGGTAAGTTTATGATGATAAAGGGTAAATTTATTACTGTTTAGGGTTAATTTAGAATGATTGTGGATAAATTTACTAATACATAGGGCAAGTTTACTTTTATTTTGGTTAATATTGCAATTGATCCTATGTTTTTGAGATTGATCATAGTACTACATTTTTTTGATTCAAGTTAATGAAAATTGATTTATTATATATTAAAATTTGAGTCGATTAAATTTTATAATTTTTTATGTACCAAAATTTAAGCCGATTAAAATTCAATGAGAATTGATTAAAATTTGATGAGAGCCGATTAAAACTCAAATTGAATTTTAATCGACTCAAATTTTAATAAGTATAACAAATATAAATTTAAATTGAATCAAATTTAAATACATAAAAAAAATAAATTTTAATTATCTCGAATCGAATTTTAATTTGCACGAATTTTAATAAATAAAAAAATATAAATTTCAATCTACTCGAATCGAATTTTAACATTTAGTTTCATCCAATTAGTATTCAATATTATCGAATTTCAATGTTAATTTGAAAAAAATGATAGTTATTAAATTCATGAATTTTAATGTTTACTTAATAAATAGGCGGTCAATTTTGTGTTAATTTTATGAAATCAAAGTTTAATAAATAAAATTAATGCTGATTTTTTATTAATTTGGTGAAAGTGAATTTTGCGATTTATCCCAATTATTTATTTTTTTGGAATATATCTAAATTATTATTATTTTTTGAAATATATCAAATTTATTATTTATAATATATCAAAATTATTTTTTTTCTCCAAAATGTTTGCGATCTTTCCAAGAGCTTGGAATCTATCGCAAGGTTGGAATGGTCTTCCCCCAAAACTTATTGAAAAACTGTAAGTTTGAGATCAATCACAAAATGTCTATGATCGATCACAAAACCACTAGAGTGAGATTTAACAAAATTATGGACAATTTACCACAAGTAAGGGCAGATTTATCAAATTTGAGGGTCAATTTATGACAATTGTAAATAAATTTACGAGTTTATAGGTTAATTTACGACTATTCTGATTAATATTATGAATTTTTTGGTTAATATTATGACAATTTTGAGTGACATTACGAGGATTAAAGATAAATTTTCGACAAAAAGAGATTAAATTAAAATCATGATGGATACATTTACCACAATTGTGGAAACGTTACGACATCAAATGAAAATTTTATTATAGTTCAGGGTGAAATACAACGATTGTGGATAATATTAATAATATATAAAACAATTTTACCATTAATGTGGCAAAATTATTATTATTTTTTGTCTAATAAATTGTTAGTGATTTATCACAAGAGTTTGGGATTTATCGAAATGTTATAGTAGTTCCCTCCTCCCCCCCCCCCTCC